TGCTTTATAATATATTACAACTCATATATTACAAATCATCAACTGCTCTTCTAGCAGCACAATTTATGGATGATTTCATGGGAAAATTAAATGGGAGAAGGCAGAGTGTGACAGTGAATGTTTTAAGCATATTTTATAATGTTCAAGTCCAGAATTGGGAGGCCAAAAATTAATTGTTCCAAAACAAATTCCAAATGGATGCAGTTAAAAGTAAAGATGAAATCTTAAAACCACCAGAATAAAAATAAGTGAATCACCTGTCTAAGAATACACTACATAAAAATTAAAACTACCTATACAAAATACTATGAATAGGCTGGCTGGTTAGCTCAGTTGGTTAGAGTGTGGTCTTGATAACACAAAGGTCCAGGGTTTGGATCCCCTTACCAACCAGCTACAAAAACAAACAAAGAAAAAAAAAATATATAAACAACATTAAAAGGCAAAGAACATCCTGTGGGAAATATTCATAAAGTATATTACAGATAGCTAAGTTTAATATTCTTAATATATAAGAAGCTTTTACATATCAATAAGAATAATTTAAAGATTCTAATAGAAAAATGAGCAAAAGACAAAAACAGTCCTCAAAACAAGAGCACAAATGGCCAGTAAGTGTGTGAAAAATTGTTCAACTTCACTAGTATGTCAAGGAATGGAATTTGTAAAATAATGTAATGCTACTTTTTTCTTAGTAACTTGGAAATGATGAAAAGGGATGATTCAATGAAAAATACCAACAAGATAAATTTCCTTTTGTATTCTCTTTTCTACATTTGCTTTAAAGGAAGAAAGTCCTGTGAATTAACTTAAAAACCAAACAACAAAATAACCACTGTAGTTGTTACTCCTGAGGCCAAGGACATTGAAGTAGGATGATTTCTAGATAGGTATAAATTACTGGATCACATTTCATTGTTCTTGAAGCTCTGTTTCGCTACATAATTGATACAGTACAACATAACCAAAGGCCAGTTCAAGTTGGCCTGGATATGCTCTATCATTTCTTCCAGGGACAACTTGTACACATTCAGTCAGCTTGAGTAATAAGAGTCTTTCTAATTAGGGCCAGTACATAGAAAAAAGAGATATATTTTACCACTGATTCATCGTTGCTCTCCAGAGAAGAAAAAACATTGGTTACTGCTCAGATTTGCCCCAGAGTTTACACTTTAGGGCACAATCTTAAATTCTTAAAATACAGCCTTTAAAAAAGATGTTAAGAAAGCAACACAGGACACTCTTTTAGTCCTGTAACATCATAGACTTAAATTCACAGACAGTAGCTTCCCCCACAGAAGAAGGTCATGATGGTAATTTAAATGTCAAATTCTCTACAAGAGCTTATAGTGTTTTAAGACAACCACTTTTCCCAAAATCCCAGTCTTTTCCTTCTATTTGATCTAGTCACAAACTAATCCTTGGTAGTTATATACATAATTAACTCTAGAAAATATCTGCTGAAGTGTTTATTCCCTTAATAGTTCATATAGAAGCAATGAACGCCTTTCAGTTGTTCTTTTCATAATTTACTCTCAGGTACTCCATTGTTCTACAATTATGTGTGACACAAGTTACACAAGCTTTAAAATATGATTTATTCATAAATAATTCTTTTTTAAAGAAAATATAATTTATTAATATTATTTTTTACATTCTAGGATGTTGTTGAGGAGCTGTTGGAAGGGAGGGGGAGAAGGGAAAGGGGAAGGAAATGGGATGGAAGAAGGAGGAAGGAGGAGTGGTGGGATTGAGGCCTGTGGCACCCCCCTCATTCCAACAGGGGAGGCTGGGTGACTTCTAGTGGTGGCTGGGTCATTGCTGGGCTGGGTGCAGATGTCAGGGGACTGTGCAAAAGCCCTCACCCCCCACCATCCCAGCTTGGGAACCTGGGGCCCTTCTTGCTATAGCTTGCTTGTTGCTGAGTGGGTTGCACGTGTCAGAGGGGCATGGCTAAGGCCCTTGGCCCCCCACCACTCAGCTTGGGAGAGCCTGGGGTGCTTCCTGCTGCAGTTTGTTGGTCATTGCTGGGCTGGCTGTGGGTGTCAGGGAGCATGGCTGAGGCCAGAGGCCCCCTCATCACCCTGCCTCGGGAGAGCCCAGGGTGCTTCCTGTGGTGGCTCAGTGGTTGCCGCTGGGCTTGCTGGGGGTTTTGGGCAGGCTTGGCTGAGGCCAGAAGCCCCCACCACCCCAGTTCTGGAGGCCTGGGGCACTTCCTGGAGCAGCTCGGTGGTCGCCTATTCATAAATAATTCTGAAATAAACTTATGTGATACAGTACAGAAGAGGCAGGCGGCATTGGCACAATTTATAAAAATAAGTATTTCTAATTAAGAAGAAAGGAAACAAATGAGAGAGAACAGGATTTTTAGATGTGCCACACTTTTCTTTATATACCTTATAAATGTCAAGGATTTCAGTTGACCAAATATAAACATTGTACCTCAAAAAGCATTGTTAATAATTATTGGTGCACATAAAGAAAATATACTTTTAATCTAACTAAATCCAAGCATTGAAAGCACGACTGAGGAAGCCAAATAATACTGTGTGCTCAGGAGTATTTCTTATTCAAGTAAACATGTGGCTAGTATTGTGCTTCAAACTATTTTTAATCCTTTGTTACCTGTATATTCTGGAACAATAGTGACAGCCTAGAGAACACTCTAAATCATTTCATCAAGTCAATGAAAAGGCAACCAAATATCACTTTTCTGGTGGTAATAATGACCAATTGCTATGCAACTGATTGTATCATACTGTAATTAATTGGCTTAAGTTCGGCAAACTACTGAAATAAGTGGACCAAACATTTGATAGTCATATTTCAGTTATGTAATCAATCATGTAGTAATCTAAGTGGTTAACCTGTAAATATTCTATTTAGCTATCATTATAAAAATCGAGTAGCTCATTAGTATAAGCAAACAATTTTTCTCAGCAGAGTAATAGAAATGACTGTAAATGGTCAGAATATTGCTAGAATTTAATTTTGGCCCTTTCCAAAGTATGTCAGAATAATAGGGAGAATAGGGATTCTAAGATGGTGACGGGTCTGGAGCGGCCGTGCCAGGAGACAGCGTGATCCTGAGAAGTGTTGGCCCTAAAACCTCGAACCTGTTGTTGCTTGTTTGTCGTTGTAGGATCGTTGTTGCTCTTGGAAATGCAAATAGTACTCTGGACTCACACAAGCTTCCAAAACTAAACCAAGAAGATATAGAAACCCTGAACAGACCAATAACAATAAAGGAGATTGAAGCTGTTATCAGAAAGCTCCCAACAAAGAAAAGCCCAGGACCAGATGGATTCACAGCAGAATTTTACCAAACATTCAAAGAGGAAATGACACCAATTCTTTACAAACTATTCCAAAAGACTGAAACAGAAGCAAAGCTTCCAAACACATTCTACGAGGCAAACATCATCCTGATACCAAAACCAGGTAAAGATATAACCAAGAAAGAAAACTACAGGCCGATATCCTTGATGAATATAGATGCAAAAATCCTCAATAAAATATTAGCAAACATGGGCCGGTCCAGTGGCGTACTGATA